TGAGCCAAGGTGGTGCAGTGGTTAGAGCGCAGCACTGCAGGCTACTTCAGCTGACTGCAGTTCTGCAGTCCAGTTGTTCAAATCTCACCGGCTCAGGGTTGACTCAGCCTTCCATCCTTCCGAGGTGGGTAAAATGAGGACCCGGATTGTTGTTGGAGGCAATATGCTGACTCTGTAAACCGCTTAGAGAAGGCTGAAAGCCCTATGAAGCGGTATATAAGTCTAACTGCTATTGCTATTGCTATTATTTACTTCCCATCTTTGGATGGCTACCAATAATTCCCAACACCTTCTCCCTAGGCAGATAGCAATAAAAAGTATACAGAGGTTACCTCTTGGCACAGCAATTTCTTTATTCAGGGACTGCTATTCTCTGTTTTGGCGGGGAAGAACATCAGAGGTGAAATTCTGATGGAAGAAAATGGCCACCTCTCACAAGAATGCAGAAAGCACCAGGATGAGAAGCTGCATGTTCATTTTAGAATCTCTTTTTTAAATGAAAGATCCAAAATGGTGCTGAGCTATCGATAATAGGTAAAGGTGAGAATTGAACTGCTCCAGTCTTATGCTGTCAAGAAAACCAACTCCTGGCTTTCCTGATACTTTGAATTAACAAGAAAAGGCCCTTCCATTTTTCATCTATGATGCACAAACTATCATGCCTTGGCATCTGCCCATCCTGTGTGCACTTGGGGGTCCCAAGTGGTCCCTATAAGTCACTTCATATCCACAGAAGACACCTCTTTGTTTGTATATCTCCTTACATCCAGATAATGAAAGCAGGTGGTTGGCTGTAATAGATTAATCCACTAAGGCCAGTCAGCATGTTGCTCAAATAATAGCAATAGCACTTATATACCGCTTCAGTGATTTTACAGCCCTCTCTAAGCTGGCATATTGTCCCCCAACAATCTGGGTTCTCATTTTACTGACCACGGAAGGATGGAAGGCTGACTCAACCTTAAGCCAGTCAGGATCGAACTCCTGGCAGTGAGCAGTGTTGCAACGTTGCATTCTAACCACTGAGCCACCATGGCTCTAATAAATCTAGGATAAATAGATTATATAGAGATTTGCAAAAAAAAAAGCCCCAACTTTAGAGGAAGGCAGAAGATAACTAGGATAGAGAGAAACTACTTTTTCTCATTCTAGATATTGTTATAAACTTTTTAGTTTGGCCACATTACAGTGAATGGGAGGAACAACAGCTTTCAGAACACCCTCCTCTGTAGGAAAATAGACAGTTCAATCAAAAATACAATAGTATTTTAATGCACAAACTCTAGTTATCCAAGGGGATATTAGAGAATAAGTAGACTTAATACACTTAATCAAAAATAAAGCCATGCTCCTTCTCTACAGTGGTTACACTTTCCACTGAGAAAATTTCTCCTAAAACACAGTTAATTCTCCTACTTTGATTTTCTTCCATCAATTTCCGACTATTATCGGTCACTTCAAGGACAACCATTTCCAAATAATACAGAGGGAGTCACTGTAGTCATATATCTTTCTGTTTCAAGAGGGGTTGTGCGAGAATAATTACCTTGTTTCTTACTCTTTCCATATCAGCTTCAGCAGTTTTGTCCTCAAGACTGTGTAGCAACAGCGCGGCTTTCTGTTCTCTAGATGCCACTTCTTCCTCCAGTTCTTTCACCTGGGGACAGTGAATTAGCTACTTAGTTATTATATTTTTATCCCATCTTTATTGCTTTATAAGTAACTCAAGACAGTGAGCATACATAATGTTCTTTCTTCCTTTTATTTTCCCCACAACAAACCAATCTCAGAGATGGGTTGGGCTGAGAGAGAAAGACTAGCACAAATTCACCAGTCAGCTTTCATGTCTAAAGTGGGGCTAGAACTCACAGACTCCTGGTTTTTAGGCCAGCACTTTAACCACTACATTAAACTGTCTCTTATTTCTTGGGTTTCAAGGCTGCCAACTCCAAAGACTCTGGAGGGCTTACAGTTTTTAAAAGAATAGCATTTAGACTTATATACTGCTTCACAGTGCTTTACAATCCACTCTAAGCAGTTTACAGAATCAGCATATGGCCCCCAAAGAATCTGGGTCCTCATTTTACCCACCTCAGAAGGATGGAAGGTTGACTCAACCTTAAGCCCCATTAGGATCAAACTGCTGGCAGTGAGCAGTGTTAGCCTGCAGTACTGTTTTCTAACCACAGAGCCTGATAAATTGAGGAGTTCCCATTTGTAAAATGCACAACA